ATTTTATCTTTTTTATTATCATTTTTTGTTTCTATAGTTTTTTATATAATAACATTGATAACAATAATAATAATAACAATAATAATAACAATAATAATAATAACATTAATAATAATAATAATAATAAAGATAATAACAATTTAAATAATAATAATTATTTTAATCATTGTAATTATAATAGTAATAATAATAATAATAATAATAATTTTAATAATAATAATGATTATACTTATAATAATAATAGAAGTTTTAATAATAATATATATAATAATTATAATAATTATAGTAATAATAATAATAATAATAATAATATTTTTAACAATAATTATAATGATAATAGTTATAACAATTTTAATAATAATATATATAATAATAATAGTAATTTTAATAATAATTATAATAACGATAGCTATAATGATGGTAGTTTAAATTTAGATAACATCTACTCCAATACCAGAGACAATACATGTAGAAAGGGAGTAAGATATTTACCATCTCGCTTTTTTAAAGAGACCCCAATAGAACCACAAGAGAGAACATCCCCACACTTTTATCCTTCAAACCCAGCCTCTAATGATACAAATAACAATAACAACAATAATAATATAAATAATAGTAATAAAACATTAGAATCAGATTCATTAATATTAGAAATCATAAGAAAGGATAAAGAAAAAACAGAAAGGGAAAAATTAAGAATAGAACTCAGAAAAGAATTGAAAAAATTAGAAAGAGAATTCCAAGAAACTGAACATTCCGAAAAATTAGCAAGAGAAAGAGAACGTTTAGAAACTTCTGAAAGAGAAAGAAGAGAAAGAGAAAGAAGAGAAAGAGAAGGAATTGAAAGACAACAACAAGAATGGGAACGTACCCAAATTTTAATACGAGAAAGAGAACAACAAGAAAGGGTACGTAGAGAACTTCTTGAGAGAGAAAGAATGGACTCAAAACAACCAGAAAGATCACAATCAAGAAGACTTCTTCCAATATAAAGAGAAAGTATGCAAATAGAGCTTCCTCTTTTGGAAAGATCTCAATCAAGAAGCCATCAACCAATTGAAAGAGAATTAATGCAAATAGATCTTCCACAACCAGAAAGACAACAACCAAGAAGACAACCAAGAGAAATAGAAAGAATGCAAATAGAGCATTCACAAAGACAACAACCAGAAAGAGAAAGAATGAATATTGAGCATCAAGATAGACATCCAAGAAGACAACAAACAAGAGAAATAATTCAATTGCAACAACCAGAAAGAATACAAATAGAGTATTCAGAAAGAAGACAAGCAAGAGAAAGTACCCAAAATTTATCAATGCAAAGAATGGAAACAGAACATTCAGAAAGGGTACAAAGAGAAAACTATTTAAGAGAACAACTATTAAGACAAACAATAGAAAGAGAGCAACAAGCAAGAGGACATACCCAAAGAAGAAATAGAAGATCATAAAAAAGGGTACCATTATGTAGAGTCCATTTAATGCTATTATAGTAAGTAATTCATACATTCATATTTATACATAATAAATAAACATATATATTAATTTAATTTATTATTTAATTGTAGAGAGAGATAATCACGTCGATGGTTAAATGAAGTCACTATAACTGTATTACCAGATTATCATTATGAAATCACCATGAAGCTGCTTTAAATAATAATGATTCTGATTTGTACCACATGAATGTCGAATGCCTTTTCGATTTCAATTACAGTTTTAATATGTAATTATTAGATTTATTGGATATGGATCAAGAATTTGCTGGCCACGAATTCGATGATCACATGGACATGGATCAAATAATATACTATTCCAATGGATACTGATTAATAACTAAATTAAAAAAGGCTAAAACATCATTGGACAAACATTACCATCGATATCTACATTTTTAATATTAAATTATTCATCGAATTATCCTCAACTCTACAAAGGCTCCAACAACTAGTTCTCTTAATGTAAGTATAATTTTAATATTTGCATAAATATTATTAGATTAGAATATAAAAGTAACTAATATTTTTTATTCTTATATACAGTAAATGTATTAATTATAATGCTTTGTCTTCCAGTTTAATTATAATGCTTTGTCTTCCAGTTTAACTATAATGCTTTGTCTTCCAGTTTAATTATAATGCTTTGTCTTCCCGTTTAACTATAATGCTTTGTCTTTCGGTTTAATTATGTTTTTTATTTAATATCAACATTGGTGTATTTGTATTCCTAAGGTAACAATAATTTTAAAATTTACATATTTATTAAATATAAAAAAACTAATATTTAATTCATATTTAGTTTAATTCTTTCTATTTCAGATTCAAAACGCTCTTATATGTTATAATTATATTTCTTAATCTTTCAGTATATCATGTTTTATTTAAAATCTATCTTGGTTGATTTTTAAGGTAACTATAATGTTAATATTTAATAATTCTTATATTTGAATAAAAAAAGAACTAATATTTAATTTTAATCCTTATTTAGGTTTATTTCAATTCTTTCTTTTCAGTTTCGATATATCATTTTCAATTCTCTCTTTCAGTCTCGACACACCATTTTCGATTCTCTCTTTCAATTTCGTCATATCACTTTCAATTATTTCTTTTCAGTCTCGACACACCATTTTCAATTCTCTCTTTCAGTCTCGACACACCGTTTTCAATTCTCTTTCAATTTCGACACATCATTTTCAATTCTTTCTTTTCAATTTAGACACATCATTTTCAATTCTCTCTTTCAGTTTCGACAAATCTCTCTTTCAATTTCGACACATCATTTTCAATTCTTTCTTTTCAGTTCGACACATCATTTTCAATTCTCTCTTTTCAGTTTGGGCACATCATTTTCAATTCATTAATAATACAAAGGGGTTTGTTTATTATTTTATTTGTGCTTTCAAAGAAGTCATTAGTCTTTAATTGTGGTTTTATTCAAGTCATTAATCATTAATTGTGGTTTTTTCAAATCATTAATCAAACTTTGGGGTATTTGTATTCTTAAGGTAACTATAATGTTAATACTTGAAAAATTATAATATAAAATATACTAATATTTAATTTTAATACTTATTTAAGTGAATTCGAAATCTTTTATTTTTAGTTTCGACACTTTATTTCAACTTGAAATTTTCAAATCATTAATCATACATTGGGGTTTTGTTTATTCTTTTATTTGTGCTTTCAAAGAAGTCAATTAAAGTACGAAGATATTTACACCCACCATATAATAGTATCCAAATCACTTTCATCAAAACTCTTTTCATAAATTTCATTTTATATAAAAATGATATTTTCATATAATCAAACAACATGTGTACATAAAATTTTATAGTGATAGCAGATACAATCATTAATAAGAACAAGTAAGTAAATTAATATAGTTATAAAAATATAAATAAAAATAAATAGAAACAGAATCACTAATCTAATCGATTGTTTTTAATATTTTAAAGGATAGGTTGACCAACTAAAATATTTTTATTAAATACTCTTTAAAAGGTTAGCACTTATTGGTTTTAGTGAACCAAAATCTCTTAATGAATTCAAATTTAGAAGTTTTAAAAATTCATTAGATTTATTTAGGGTCCAATTCGATAGAATCCAAAACTAAACGTAATGGCATCAAACTCATTTTGCAAATAATATCTTTATCTATTTATTAATTAATATATTAATAAATAAAATAAAATAAAATAAAATAAAATAAAATAAAATAAAATAGTTTTATAGTTTTTTTAATATATTTTTTTCTTAGTCTGTAACATTTGTCAATATAAATTGGGTATTATTATTATTTGTGAATAGTATAAAATCTCTTTTTATATGTTCGCTGAACATTTGATAAACATACGCTAAATCTTTATATAATTGATTTTAAAATCCTTTCATTCATGATACCTATGACAGCAGATCTTTTAATTTCTCTTTATTTAAACTTCTATATGATGATGGTGGTGGAAGTATTATACAATAAAAACAGTAATGGCTTTTTAATTAATATAACCGTTACTCATCTGCCTGTATTATAAAATTTTAAAGAGTTAATACATATGTTTACTTTATAACAATAAATTACCACTTGCTTTTAATTTAATTTCTAATAAATTCCATAATTTTCATTTGACCATAAAACCCAATGATCTTATGTTTGAATTTAATTCTTTTAAAGTAGAATTGGTTTATTGTGGTTGCATATGCGATTGGGAATGTTGGAAGGATCTATTGTAATGTCTCTTTCTGCAATATCAATTGTACCACGAACTAAAAAATATCATTGTTTAAAACCATTTGAACTATCTGTAATTTCTAATGCATTCAATTATTTATTTTCATTTGATGATTTTAATATCTTTAAATCTGTAACTAATGGTCCAATAAAATCAATATCTAAAATTAAAATGAAAAATTAATTATTATATTTATTTTATTTTGTAAATAGGTATGGTTTAAATATGTGTATAAACTTTTTGATTTAGCAACTCTTAACTGATATTCAGAAGGTAAAATTCACTTTATATATTTGTATTTATAATAGTAGTACATACTTGATGATTGAATAGATTCCAATTTTTCCACAGTATCGAACATGATTTAATTTCACATCCAACTTTATATTATTATGGCTGATAATAGAGTATATACGAATGACAGTACCATTGAATAATCACTTATTTTCTTTGTAACTTGTTATTGGTGATACATCTGCGTGTAGTAATTTAGTAATTGTATTTTATTTTTAATTAGTTATAACATTATATTAAAACAATTTTAGAAATAGCATGTGTAATTATTTACCTTAACTGATGTGTCTTTGTATTTCACTTAATATATATTGTTTTTTCCATTTTGAAAAAAAATAATTTATCATTACTATTATTGTATGTTGCTATTATTATTATTCTAGTAGATCCAATAATAATTGATGATAAATTTAATAAAAAAAAAATTGAAAAATTCCAAATTAATTTTTTTAATTTTTTTTTAATTTTTTTTTTCTAAAAATAATTCTTTACCATAAACATTACTTTATTATTATTATTAAAATTACTGTTGTTCTGGTTGTTATTTTTTTTATTTTTTGTTTTTGTTAATGGCATTGCCAATAGAGAAAACCATATTAGAAAATAAATTAAAAATAATTATAAAAATGTATTCATTTTTATAAAAGTTTTAATTTATAATTGTGATATGATTGTGAATAAAAAATTATTTAATATTTAATATTTAATATGATTTTTATTAATATTGATAATTATTATGGTGAAAGGCGAAATTATATGATTGTAATTAAAAAAAAAAAATTAAAAAAAAATAAATAAATACAATTATTGAGCTACTTGCAAAATTGAAGAAATGAATCATTTTAATATGGTAATTATCTCACCCATACTAAAAAATTCATTCACTTTTTCTTGTTTTCTTTCAAATAAAATGAATGAATTTTTTAGTATATAAATTACTCATAAAGTACTAAAAAGTTCATTCACCTTTTCTTGTTTACTTTCAAATAAAATGAATGAATTTTTTAGTATATAAATTACTCATTTTTTATTAATATTAATTAATAAAAGTTAAATATGATTCAAAAATAAAATAAATTTGAATATTTATTTATATAATATTATAATGATTAAAATTTTATTTTTTTATATTATTATGTATATTATTATTTTTTAAATGATTAATATTTTTTTTATTAATGAATATTATTATTATTTTTTGAATTTTCAAAATTTTTTTCCAATTGACACATTTGAAAACAGATCATTATACACATTGCATGTAATTCGGGAGATAATTTACATTTGGTATTGCCAATTCCAGATCTTTTAACTGAGCTATTACCTCTTTCAACAGGTGTTCTTAAAGCTGCCTGTTTCTGTTGAAATGAAGATTGTATTTTTTTTTTGTTCTTGGGTTTTATCATTTATTGTTTTCTCGTCTAAAAATTTATAATAACAGGATGGAGTTATGTAAATTGATCCAGGATATGCTATATTGAAATTAAAATCTTAATTAATATTAATTAAATAATATATATACAACAACAACATTATTTATAAATTAATTTACCAGAATCAGCTAGAATATTTAAATCATTTTCAATTGCAAATTGATCTATTTGAGATAAAAAAGCAAATGTACTATCATGAATATTTCCTTTTGCTATTGAAACATAATATATTCATTTCCCTATCAACTAAAACTTCTGATGATAAAATTGGTTCTCCAACATCCAATCTAAAATCTGCCTGATGGGGGTGAACTCTGTCTCTTTTAACATTTATTATAAGATTTTTTAATAGGTGAATTTAAATTTTTTTCTAATCTCTTGGGAATGACATAAAGTTATTTT